GATTGTAGTCGAGAAACATTGTTTTAAAGGTAAAGTATTATCAGTCTTGAGAGGGCACTATACAACATAAAGAGTTTATTATTTACAATTTCATCACGTAGACTCGAATTCAACCGCGACAACGATCATTGAACCGTTAAATCGCATAAGCTTCCAATATGTTCATTTGAACCAAATTCATGACCCCATACCAAAACTTTGTAATACCTTTAAGGTCAAATAGTAGCATATCTTGTTACCACAATACATACTCAAACTGAAGTTAAAGGTAAAGATCAGTTTTGGAAACGACCCCCTCTCAAAAACTGAAATGGAAGCTCTTATTACCAATCATGTGAAAGAATATGTTTTGACTAATACGTGTTGATACAAATTTTGCCGAGAAACCGCCTACTAATTGATATATTTGGTAAATTATTATATCTATTTGGACCTGATAGATATCGCGCACGTGTCGCGTAGTCCCATAAACATCTTTCTGTGTACAGTGCTTGTAACTTTACCAAGGCTGGGCCAAATTTCTTATCATTTTGATGATTCCAGAACCTTGCAGTACACACCAATACTTATATGCTAGATGATCAACCTTTTCTGATCGATTCCACAACGTTTCTTTCAATATGCGATCTCATGAGCATAACTGGTCTTTATCTTTAAGGGTTGAGAATTCCCAAGATAAGGACGGAATATCGCCACCCTATATCGCGCAATAAATCGCTTATACAACGAATTCATAAATCGTGCATTTCCAGCACTTGGAAACAAGGAGGGGTGAGATCCCTACCCCGAGCATTAATGAAGACTAATGGGTAATTGAATCATAAATATGATAAATTAATCCCCAACCTATGAAACCTGGGAGCTTTTTTCTCGGGTGATAACGGAAGGGGTAGGAGAATAAATGGCATCCTGTGGTTCACCAATTGCTGACACCCGACACATCCCCTCTCGTGAAGATTGAAAGGGGAACAAGAATTCTCTTTACATGTTACGCACCTATTACGTACTTATCATTTTGAGCTCATTTAACTTTTCAAGGATTTTTTTGCTCTACTCGGAGACCTCAAATGTGGCTGAATATCTTGCATATGCTATCACGAAAAGATTTAATTATTTATAAATTGGAAATGAATGTATTGCCTGGTACGTGGTATATACACTGTCGTTCATAGAGCTGGAAATTTTTTGTTTTACCCCAATTTACGGAATTATTTTAAAAATAATTTATTCCTAATAGATCAAGATAATAGTATACATTCTCAGATTTATTGAATAATAATTTGACAATGTGTGTTTTGCGTGACCGCTAAAGCATGTGTATGCTACTATGCTTATCAACTAGGGGAATCAACTCTGGCCGTCCAGAGGATTTTTTTTATGTTGGGGACCGGGGTAAAATGCAATAAATTATTGAAAATTTATTGCATTTTTTTTAATTTTTTTTATTAATGGAAACTGTCCCCCTACCCTAGCCCCCGCTGCGTACAGTCATGGTTCAGTGACAAAGCAATGGCCTCGTAACTGTGAGGCCCAAGGATCAAAACCGTGTCGATGTGCTATATTAGTGCCCTTTTGTGGGGCATTATTCCTCATGAATGTCATTTATGACTTAAAGGCGTAGGTCCCTTAGTTGATAAGCATAGTAGCACACACATGCTTTAGCAGTCACGCAAAACACACATTGGCAAATTATTATTCAATAAAATCTGAGAATGTATACTATTATCTAGATCTATTATTTTTAAATTATTTTTAAAATAATTCCATAAATTGGGGTAAAACAAAAATATTCCACCTTTATAAGCGACAGTGTATATGAGCGACAGTGAATTATAGCAAATTTAACATCGGATCGATCAAGGGTACGCCTCACCCCCCCCCCCCCCCCCTCGTTTGAAGACCTTCTCCTTCCCTAAAAAACACAATCAAAGAAAACTCTAGTTGTAGTATGCTAACGTTAAATGGGGCTGCCCGAATATAACCGGCGAAATCCCGTCCAGAGGAGGAAGAGGAGGTGGTAATGTATTCATTACGCGGAACTTCCCATACCTGAAGGACCGCTATTCATAATAGGATAAGAGAGGCACTATTCAAAGGAAATAAGGACTGTTATTCATAAGGACCGCTATTCATAATGTGAAATGAGGGTCACTATTCATAATTCACATTGAGGGTCATTATTCGTAAGGACCGCTATTCATAATACGAAATCGGGGTCGCTATTCATTAACATGAAGAAGGGGCGCTTTTCATAATTTACAAGTGGGGTCACTACTCATAAGGATCATAAGGATCGCTATTCAAAATACGAGAAGAGGGTCGCTATTCATAAAACGAGAAGAGGGTCGCTATTTATAATACGACCCTATTTCGCAGCCCCTCTTCTAAAATGAATATCTGGATACCCCACTTCCTGACACTGGTTAAGGACAGCCAGGTGAAAGCCAGATTCTGGGTAGACATGGAATTGAAACGCACGGATCCAGTCAAAGAAGATGAAGGACAGGATAAGAGATCTTAGTCACACTTGACCCTGGGACATGTGGAAATACTATGGGGGCAATCGAAATCAAGACGAATTTCATCTTGCGATTTACACCCAGTTCAATTTGTAGCCACTGATCTCTACGGAAAAAATCGTATTGATCAGTGTTTGTAGACTGTGCTTGCAGGCTGTGATATGATGATCAGCTTTATACCACCAATCACTTATCATGAAATGTTTATGCACTGAACATGATTTATGAATCGAACAGACGAACTGAAGCTTTTGTTTTCGTCTTTCACCCATCAGATTAAATTACAAAAATGACCCAAAAGCGGAATTCAAGCAATGTAAAAGGGATCTAAATGAAACAATCCCCACAAATTTCCTGCTATGAGTGCAAAATGAAATGCTTTGATATACCATTTTGACCCCCTCCCCCCCCCCCCCACTCAGTGTTATTTAGGATACGCATATGCTTGTTCCCTCTTTATGAAAGCACCCCCTATCTGAGGAGTGCCAACATTTCCGAAGCCCCCTTTCGCGGGCTTTTCCTGCCTTGGAGACCCCCCTAAATCATGAAAAATGCTCAATGTACCCCCCTAAATTCGGAATAATTTCTCAGGAGTCCAAAGAGATGGAAGAAAAAAAAGAAAAAACACCCCCTTTTTAAAGATATCTCCAGGTGAAAAGTTAATACACCCCTTTTTTTTTTACAATTCTCGGGCCGGACTTTGTCGCACGAAAAGTACCCCTTCACCAGACATTTTGTGTCATTCACGTGTTTTTTACACGTGTTTTTTCCCATGGGGGGGGGGGGGGGCGGGGCAGCCCCCCTCCCCCCCTGGATCCGCCACTGCGCACGGTCGCCTTAGTAGGTCCATGGTGCGTCCCTGTGGCGGCCGTAGGTTTTTGACAAATACTACGGCAGACGCAAGGTAACCGCTAGGTGCCCGCAAGGCGGCTTAAGGGGGAATATACAACTACTGTGAGGCCAGACTGATGCTACCGCTTCACCCCTGGAGTATATACAACGCAAGGCCATCGTACGCCAGACGTACGGTCGCCGTGGAACCGCTCTACGGCATGGCTACGATGTGTCTAATCGTATACGGCAAAACTAGAAATGAAAACAGTTATAACTCCGCGTTATAATCCCACAGCGATCCGTACGGCCTGAAAAGATAGGAATATGCCCTAGGGTGACTCTGAGGCCACCACAGATCTTCTGCGGCCGCCGCAAGTATCTCTCGATTTCGGGGGCGTACGGCCGCCGTATCCTAGCCGTAAAGCAAATGTGACTTAGGCATGAGTAGAGAAAAAATAAACAGAAAAAGATCGCCCGGGCACCGTCTGGAGCCCGCACGGGACCCGTACGTTGCCCCTGGGGCCCTTCACGGGCTTTTTACTGCCTAACGGTCAGACGTGCTCGTCATTGTAAAAAAAATCTTGTTCTACCGCTGCATATCTGAAAGAGGATTAATACTGGTGCCTACCGCCCCCAGCCAATCGTTTCAGTGCATTCTCAATGGATGAAATCATCTACATAGGTCTATCTACATTTGCCACTCTTAACCTAGGTTTTAAATGGGTATCTGGTTGGATGTGCAAGGTACATGCGATAGGCATTATGTGCGCTTGTAAAATGGCGCGTGACCGGAATATCCCGCACAAGATAGTGCCGATTAGTAATCGATCCAATGACCGGGGTAATCCACTGCCTTTACTGTTTCCGTGTCGGGCGCCCAATTAGCTGAGAAAATAACACATCCTCAATGCTAATACCTCCTTGATCTTTACCTTACCTTTCGATGGGTGCATTTTCGAAGCTCGCGCGATTAGTGGAGTACCGCGCTATGTGTGGGATGCATTAATGTACTATGTCCCATTTGCAGGCCAAAGGTTAAATTCCAACGACATTTGAAAGACAATACTAATTTTGAACCTCCCTCAAAACGAAAGTGCTTGAAAATGGCTTTTAGTGGGAGAATAACGACCTTTAGTTGTCGAATCGACTTAAGTGATTGCAATCACCCTTAGGTGATTGATAGTCTGATTTCCATACCCTTGTACCGAATGGTCGTACGTTTTGTGCTTCACAAAGAATCAATCAGTGTGGATTTGGCCTTTGCAAGTAGTGAGATCTGGATGTAGACAAATGCTCATGCACCAGTTACAGCTATGTTATTACCTAAAAATAAAAGATGTCAGTCAGTCACTCAATAGTGTCTGACAGGGAAGTCTAGAAGGTAGACGGGTTTCCCTGCATAATTTAAATACTAAGACACTGCTAATGTTTAAATTTCACATAATTCCTGCAAAGTTCTACAGAATTTGATGTTGGCTGCAAAAGGGACATAGTATCTTTAAGAAAGGAGGACAAAGTGGATAGAAGAATGAAAAATACAAAATTGGACAAAATCTGGAATATTACCGGGGAAATAATAATTACAATGTAAAGCGCAATGCAAATGCGACTATTATAATTATTATTATTATTATTAAGACCACTTACCATTTCCTCCATATTAGATGCTGGGCCGGGAGTCCGTCTTCTGTATGAATTATGCATATCAAGAAGACGTTTCTTGTGTTTGTTACTTAGTGGAGTATACTCGCTCCGTAGATCTTTCCGTTTCTTAGGCTTTTTCTGTGAATGAAACAAAATTACAGAGATTTATTGTTAAAAACAGCAAATGGTAATAACAATGATAATAATAATGGTCATGATAATAATATTAATAGCCCACGCAAAAATGTGCTACAACGCCACTTCCATAATGGAGTATTCATACTTCAATTTCCATTGTTCAAATGCATGCAGGGAAGTGGTAAATTAATCACCTAGATATAGCAGGACAACATATAAAAGGGCAGTAAGTGAAGCATACCATTTTGAAAAATAACATTGTTTTTTTAATTTAAAAAAAAAGGTTTAGCGCGATACACATACATGTAACACTATTGATTTATCAATCAGTTCTATATAATTATATATATAATATTTAGGTATAGTGTTATCAGATATCACGTAACATAATCTGCATTAGGTGTAGATGTACAGTGACCTCGTTTTGTAACATAAGTCATTTTCCCAATCAAAGGGTACCAATCACTATAACATATAATTTGCTCTGTATGTTAAAGGTTCCATGCCGCTTTACTTTATTACAAATACGAGTGTCGTACATTACCTGTATAAATAGATATTGCAAGATGAAATGCATTTCAATAAACATAAAAATATGGACGTCCCACCTTTGTAAATACCCCCCCCCCCCCCTCATGCTGTCAAATATGTCATCTTTTAAGTTCGTATAGATTATATAACCATTGTATTGTGAAAATTAGAAGGAACAAATGTATTGAAAAATTCCACTAACCTCAAAATGAGGGCTTGAAATAATCATACCTCACACAGTGCATAACGAGCCCAGAGTACTATAAGTGGTTTAAAATAAGACATACATGGTAATACAGGGTTTCATGTTAGATCTGATAAATTTGAATGATCAAGAATCAAGAAATATTTTAGAAGATTTATACAACTTGCAATCTAAGAATTAAATTGTCCGTATACTTTCCATACATTTCAAAGATTTAGTGGGTGAAGTAGTAATACCAAATGAATCATTCAGAATTATGACTTCTTGATGCGATTACATATTAAACAAAGAGAATGATCATCAAAATCAGTGAATCTAAATGATTTATTGAAATGTTGTATCGAAGAATGCTTTATGAGGTTGTACAGTTTTACAATAGTTTATCTACTAAGCAAAGCAGTAAATAGCATTAATCATGCATGGCTTGTATTGAAATTTAGTTCTCTTGCCGAGATGCATAACCTGCAACATTTTTAAAGTTTCTATTTGCATTTTCTGACATTTTCACCTTTTTTAAAGTAAATAATTTTACCTTTCGTTGCCATTAGCCATCTCAAATCCGTTTTTATGTGTGATTTCAGTAAGTCATACATGATTGAATGTTTATGGTATATTGAATAAATCTAGTCATCTGATAGGTCGAAATTGGAGTCGTGATTTTAACCATGCCCGTAAACAAACGAACAATTGCCCGTTACCTGGATGAAGGGCAATAGTTAATGAGAAAGATGCCCGTTGCCCCCGGGTAACAGGCCGCATAAATACATTTTGCTGAGATCCCCATAGGTTTACGTGTAAAAAGTTGTTATGTGCGAGCGCGGATACCATACAGTGATTTGTGTCTGCGATTCCCGAATGATCGTTCAGGCAACTTTCCAGCCAGGGGCGTCGCTAGACTTTTTCAGTGGTGGGGGAGGTGGTGTAGAGGCCACCGATTACCGACAAATACATTAATGCCAATGTCCACAAATTTAAACCCTATAAACCCGGGGTCAGGGGGCCGGGGGCTAATTTGTCCTACCAAGAAGTTGCTGGTAACTTCTTGGTCCTACGAACTAACTATACCTGCGCCTGCGCACATGGTCTTCCCTTGACATCATAAATATACGGTTTATTTCGTCAAAACTAGTCAGCATCGTAGCTAAGAAATGTGCAACTAGTATGAGCAACTATTCGGTGTGGCGTAATCGGAAAGCGCACTGTACACAAATCTCCCGGGTTTGAAGCTCATTGCGGCGATTTTTGAACCCCTTTTTTCTTTTGCTGATATTATAGTAAGGTTGACAATGTCAATCATCCTGCTATGATGTAACGTCCCCTTGAGCCTGTAGAAACAGCGATGCCTCTCAAAGCAGTCAATATATTTATACAATTCGTATTTAAAGGTATCGACCAGTTTTGGAAACGCCCCCCTCTCCAAAAATGAAATGGAAGCTCTTATTACCAATCATGTGAAAGAATATATTTTGACCAATACGTGATGATACAAATTTTGCCGGGAAACCGCCTACTAATTGATATATGGTTAATTTAATAATTATCATATCGATCCGGCCTGAATAGATACCGCGAATGTACTTCAACATTGAACATTTGGGCATATATTTGATTTTTGCGAATTTAGGTTGAAGTATTGCCAATACTATATACAGGGGTGTATATATATATTCAATAAATGAATACAAAAATAGATAAAATAATTAAATTTACAAATATTTATATAAAACGCTACTGCAAAAAATAAGAACGAAAGAGGAAGAGGTGAACGAATACCTATTCTCAAATATCTGTTAGACAATGACACCCTTATTCCTCAATGAAATCAAGTTGGTTTTGAAAGAAGTTCCGTTATTCTGATAATCAATAAAACAATCATATGGATAGATACATGTAGTCGCTTGTAGTAGTTCCTGACATTATTTTCTTGACACGAGAAGGTACTCATTCACATAGGAAGTGTTTGTGGCATGGCGTGGATGCCACAGGAGGGAAAACATGAATGCGATCATGACTGACTGACCTTGTAATTATAACTATAACCATGGTCGGGAGGATGAGGGGGAAGTGGGAAAGGGGGGGGGGGGTTCTCCCCCTCTCTCTCTCTCTCTCTCTCTCTCTCTCTTTTCTCTATCTCTGTTTCCCTTTCTCTTTCTCTCTCTCTCTCTCTCTCTCTTTTTCTCTCTCTTTATATTTTTTTTCTTTCTCTCCCATCATCCCCCATTTGCGAAGTGTGAAAGAACTCACAACTTGAAATAATCTTGTAATAATCTTCGCATGCAGATTGGGAACTCGAAGAGAATTTAGAAAAAGACTTTTGGTATTTCCATTGCCATCGGGTGTTATCAATCGGTTATGTTCATTCGGTCGAGTAGAAACGGAAGGTACCGTCTCACTGTCAAAGCGCTCATAATAGTTCACGCAACTTGGGCGTGAATCGCCCACGTCTTTCGGATATATGAATAGAATTGTATACTGGGCATAAACGGATATTGCATTTGTGACGTTACAAGTTAACGTCAAATAACTAAATTCGCTGTAATGGACGGAACGTAAAGTATCAGATAACGACCCAAACAGTCATTGAAAACCAAGTTTCAGTAAGCCCGTTGCACACAATAATTGGCGTGATCTTTGAAGCATCGTTCGAAATGCGAATGAAAAATAAACAGTTCAAACGTAGCTTTGATTTACTGGCGCATGGACTAATTTGAGGGATAGGCTTGATCAGCACATGAAATAACGAGTATGCATTACATTTATTTTACTCTGTTCTTTGGGGGCTTGATTTGATTTGTATTCTTTTTCGAATGAGGTAACCGTACATATTTTTTAGTAACTAGGTCAAGGGCGCAGACATGCTGCGTCCCTCACATTCGTAACATCGCTACAGACACGCAACATAGCTTGGAGTTTATGAGGGTTATAATATGCAAAATGTCTCAAGATCTTGAGTGCAGTTAAATGACGTATTTTATTTCAGTCTTTCTCCTCATGATGCAGCATATCAAGGTCATTTTCTTTATGTATATTCATCTATGTAAGAATAATCACGATAATAGTGATGGCAACATGCCGTACTTGTATAAGTGATATTCAATATATGGAACAAAGTATCACTCTTTGCTGTTCAAAAATTATTTGGAAATTAATTCGCTTCGTCTTTACTATTTTCTTATTGATTCTATCCCTGGAAAAAGTCTAAACTATGTTTAGATTTTAGTATAACCAGTAGCGTATCGAGAAATTGCCAAACGACGGCGGGGGAGGGGCACAATGTATATGGGCTACCCTGCGTGTCGTAGACCCTTTGCAAGTATGCAATCCCTGCACTGGTACCTGATGATTATATAAAGTTAACAGCCATGCTAGAGCTTCTATCAAGCACAAATCAAGCTAACAGAAAGTTTCCATCTTTACCTCTTTTATCCATCCACCATTATTTATAGTAGCGAATAGAACACGCACCGATACCTGGGATTTGCCTAAATAGGCCCAATATTTGTTCGTGTCTGCAAACGATTGATACGTCAAGAAATAAATAAACTCTTTGTGTTCTGATTTCATTTCCTTCGACTTCCAGATGTTTCGTCCCTTGTCGACTTGAATTCATCAGAAGGTCGAGAGCAAAATTCTTTCCAGTCTTTCCTTGCAATGTTTAGATTCCCAAACGTATCTGAGGTTTACCATGAACTCATTTTAATGCAACATTTCCAGTTTGGCTCTTATTCAAGGCAATGAATATGACTCGTGTTAGCAAAACTGGTTTCAACTCAAAATCACCCGCTGACATCACGTCAACCATGAGCGATGTTAAACAAAATCGAGAAGCGTGTTGATTTTCAGTTTAAAGGGGCGTTCACAAATCACTATTTGACGGTAACCATAGTTATAGTTACTGTAATATTGGGACACACCTCCTGCGAGATAATATCCTAAAACTAACCAAATTTCCCGACTTCAACGCTGGACCCGACACAAAAACTAATCCTAACCCTAACCCTAAACCTGACCTAAACCTCAATTCAAACCCTAATCATAACCTTATAATCTTTTTAGAAAATAAATCATTACCAGAGGTGATGTCGGGTCACGGTATGCTATATTACACATTGTTTTTTTAGTTGGTCTCCTGTTGAAAAGGTGGGGGATGTGTATTCGAGCCTATACAAATTGATGCTGGAGGCTCACATGCTGGATAAATTTGTTCTTTTGTCTCCCTCCCCATTAAAACTTGGTTTTGCTGTTCACAAATACGCCCCTACTG